GTGGCATCCCCTGCACAGCAGCAGGGGTCTCCCTGCACTGCGCTGTGTGCTGAGTCCTGCACAGCTCTGACTCCCTCTGCTCTTGGGTCCCATTCTGCTTGGCCTCCTCTCATGTCCCAACGTGTGCCTGCAGTCCCCTGTCACCCCAAGGCAGCACCAGGTGGTGTTTTTGTGTCGGTCCTACATAAATGATGTCTTCTGTTCCATCCCCCCGCCCCCCCCCAGCCTCCCCCGAGCCAGCAGAGCGGTTGGTTTCGGGAGCAGAGTTTGCAGTGGGGCTGCAGGAGCAGAGCAGAACGGTGGTGCAGCCTGCAGGAGGAGGAGGATGGCAGGGCCCGGCCGGCCCCACGTGTCAGCAGGAATGGGGCTGCTCCATGCACTGCTCTGCTGCGTGTCCCCCCCCGTCTGTCCCTCCACCATCTGTCTGTCTCCTCTCTCTGCTCTCAGAAAGAGCTGCATAGAGGCTGCTCCGCACGGGCATGCAGTGATGCCTGCTGCCAGCCTGAGCTCGTGCCCAGTTCATATGCTGGGGGCTGCCCATCCCTTCCACCCCCCGTCCCCATCCTTGCTCCCCGGGCACCCGCCAGGCACTGATTCTGCCCCCCACCCCCCCCCACTCGCAGCACCAAGATGGGCATCAAGGAGCGCATCCGCCTGGGCTCCCCGCAGCGCCTGGGCAGCCGCGGCCGCCTGCACCTGGGCCCCCCCCTGCACCGCTCCCCCAGCACCGAGGCCGTCCCCGAAGCCCCCAGCCCCAGCAAGGTGCACAAGAGCTGGAGCTTCAACGACCGCACGCGCTTCCGCGCATCGCTGCGGCTCAAACCGCGGCTGCAACCTGAGGGTGAGCGCCGGGGGGGGACACGGGAGGCCCGGGGGGGGGGCTCAGTGTAGGGGCTGAGACCTCTGTCTCACCCCCGCCCTTGCAGCAGAGTGCCCACCAGAGGACAGCGGCGAGGAGAAGGGCTCCCACTGCGACCTGACCTTCGAGGACATCATGCCAGCAGTGAAGACCCTGATTCGTGCTGTGCGGTGAGCGCATCCCGCCCCGTGTCCCCGTGCACCGGGACATGCAGAGCCACGGGGGCTGGGTTCCCACCACGACCCCATAGCAACAAACAGACCCCCGGGTGCTGGCCATTCTGCCCGCCCCATGCCTGCATCCAGCCCCCCCCCCCACCATTCACAGGATCCTCAAGTTCCTGGTGGCCAAGAGGAAGTTCAAGGAGACCCTGCGGCCCTACGATGTGAAGGATGTCATTGAGCAGTACTCAGCTGGGCACCTGGACATGCTGGGCAGGATCAAGAGCCTGCAGACACGGTGAGATGGCCCCAGGGCGGGGGGAGACTCTGGGGTCCTGCAGGTCCCCAGTTACGTGGGGCACATCCTGCCAGCCCCGTGGCCATCAATGGGGCCCCGTGCACCAGCCCCATCCCCATTGACCCCATTGGGAATGATGCACCATGCCCCCTTCCTGCAGCGTGGACCAGATTGTGGGCAGGGGGGGCCCTGCTGCTGACAAGAAGATCCGGGAGAAGGGGGAGAAGGCAGTGCTGGATGCAGAGCTGGTGGATGAGCTGAGCATGATGGGCCGCGTGGTCAAGGTGGAGAGGCAGGTATGGAGGGAGGAGACGGCCACGTGTCACCATGTCACCATGTCACCATGTCACCATGTCACCATCCCATGGGGACCCGCTCATCCCGTGCCCACAGGTGCAGTCCATCGAGCACAAGCTGGACCTGCTGCTCGGCCTCTACTCGCAGTGCCTGCGCAAGGGCTCTGCCAACTCCTTCAGCCTGGCAGCCGTGCCGCTGCCCCGTGAGCCCGACATCACCTCGGATTATCACAGCCCTGTGGAGCACGAGGACGTGTCGGCGTCAGCCCAGACGCTGAGCATCTCCAGGTCGGGCAGCGCCAACATGGACTGAGCTGTGGGATGGGGCTGCAGGGATGGCTCCGGCCGTGGGGGGGTGTGGGGACGTGGGGACCCCCCCCCCCGGGCACCACTGAGCTGCGTCCCTCTCTGCATTACTTGAACTCGGTGTCCTTGCGGGTGGGCGGCAGCTGCGCTCTGTGCTGGGCGCTGTGGTGGGGATGGGGAGGAGCAGCAGTGCTGTGGTGGGTGCTCTCCTGGGGGGTTGGGAGCCCCCAGCCCAGAGCGTGTATCCGCCTCCCTATGGGGGTCCTGCACGTCCCAGAGCCGCACTGGGACCGGCACAGCTATGCAAGGCTCCAGCTCCGGAGCTGAGCCCTTGGGCACAACCCCATGGGGTCTCATCGGGGTGGGGGGGGTGACCCCATCGCCCTCCTCTGCCAGGGTTCCCCCCTGCTCACAGGGCTGCGGCTGCACCTCCAGAAGTGCGGCAGAGCCTTCTGCCCCTGCATGCTCCCAGGGCAGTATCTATCTATATATGTAAGAGACAGATATGCAATAATGTCTTAATATGCAACACCCCCGGGAACAGCCACCCGGGGGACAAACGTAGGCAATAAGCACCTCCTGCCAGCACGCGGGGCTGCGTCCTGCTCCGCAGGGGGCTCAGACCCCCACGGAGGGTGGTCCCAAGGCTGTGGGGCCGGGCAGGAGGAGGGGGCGGTGGTCCACCAGGAGCATCCCTCCCTGCCCCCGCTGGAGGACTCCTTCTCTGCTTGTCCCTGCCCCCGTCCCTGTCCCCTGGGGGTGACTGCGGGTGGGGACAGCGTGGCGGTGGCAGTGCCCTTTGCACGCTGCTTGCACCAGGGCTGCTTTCCAGTTCCCCACCGCAGTAGTGCCAAAATTTCTTGGTACCTCCCCGGGGGGGCTCGTGGGACTCCCTTTTGCCTTCGAATCGTGGGGATCCCAACCCCACTCTGCTGCTGCTCCCAGCGGGGCTGTGCCCGGGGATGCCCCCAGCCCTTCCTTTCCCTCCGTAGTGCATGTGAACAGCATGGGCTGTGCTCGCAGCCCCCCAGGCTGTGCCGTGGGGCCGGGGCTGCCCAGGGGGTGATGCACAGCCACGCCGTGGGTACCCGGCCCTGGAGCGAGGGTGCATGTGACAGCTTCACCCCCAGCCCCGCTCAGTCCTTAACCCGTAGGGCTCCTCCCCGGGGCTGGCTGGGCCCCTCAGTCCCTCTTTTTTCCCCCCAGCCGCCCGTAGTTACCTCACTTTATTAACTTATTAACTTATTTCTTTCATTAAACTTTGAAGTAGACGCCGCCTGCCCGCCTGGTTTCTGCCCCCGCTCTCCCGAGAGGTGGCACTCCAGCCCCACCGCAGCACCCAGCGCCCATCCTCCGCCCCCCCTCAGCCACTGCCCTACCTCCCATTCGGTCGGCAGAGGGGCTGTGCTTTCCCGGGGGGTGTGGTGTCCCCAAACGGTGCGTCCCCAGACGGGCATGGCGCCGCGATAGCCTCGGGAGCGTTCCAGACGTGATGTGGGTGCGAGACCCCTCCTCACAGTGCTGCAGCCCCCTCAGGAGGGTGTCAGGCCCCCTTGGGCACGCGTCCCCCCGCCCGCAGTGCCCCAGCACTGCCGGGAGGAAGCCGGACTCTTGGCCGTTCCTTCGCCGCATTTCCTGGCTGCGCCTTCGCCAACAGCCGCCCCGCAGCCGCCGCGCAGCGATGGAGCGATCCCTGCAGCCCCTCTGCCGCTCCCCCCCCCCCGCCCAGAGCAGCCGGGCTGCTTCGGGACGGGGTCTTTGGGTGGCCCCGCGGAGCGCTCGGGTGCGGGGTGCAATCCCGGGGAACCCCCACCTGCTGGCGGTGCAGCTCTCTGCGGTACCTCCGGGGCTGCTTTGAAGGGAGAGCCAGGTCGGGGCGAGGAGGAAAACCCCGTTCTGCTCTGCCCTGCCCCCGGCTGGCAGCACCACTTTTCGGAGGGGGGAGAAGTGGGGAAGGTGGTCCGCGGTCAGTCCTTGTGCCCGCAGTGGGGTCTGTGCATCGCTGCGGGGGGCTCCGGCCATGCAAAAGGCTGAACCCCCGTGTGCCCCCATTGCTCCCGGTCGTGGCTGCAGCCTCACCCATGCGGGGCGAAGAGCACAACTGTGCGATGCCCCCCTACAGCCGCGTGTGACACAGACGGGGACGAGGCTGTGGCCCAGTGAATGTGTCCGTGCGTCCTGCCGGCCGCCAAGGGCACCTGCGGGAGGAGCGCGGGGCTGCGGGTGCTGCTGCCCCTATTGCTGGGGGGGGGAGGAAGGGAGGACAGGAGGATACGGGGCAGAAGAGGCGATGTCCCGCGTCCCTCTCGCGGTGGCTTTGCTCTGTTCCCGGAGGGTCTCGGACAATTCGTGACTCACTCCGAATTCCTGTCCGTGTGCCTGCAGACAGCCGGGCTCCGGGCCGGACCCAGTTCCTTCCTGAAGCTCTCGGCAGCCCAAGGCCGCGTGCTCAGGAAAAAGCTCTTCGAAGAGCACCGGGCTGCGCTGCCTGTGGAGTTGGGGGGGTTGGGGGAGGTGCTCTTGTAGGACCCCCTTTGGATGCCCGGAGCAGCCCCGGGAGTCCCGCTGTCTCCGTCGGACACCGGGAGATCCTTCGGGGAATCCCTCGGCAGCGCCGGTGCCGCTCCTCGGGGCCAAACCTCCCCGGGAGGAACCGGAGCGCAGCAGGTGGGGGGGCCGGGGCTGCCTTTATTGACCCTCAGCGTGCGCCCCTGCAGTGGGACAGCCGTGTTCCACCCCGGCAGACGCAGTGCTGCGCACACGGACACACACACGGCCCCCTCCTTTCCCCTCCTCGTGCTTGAGACTCGGGGGACCCCCACCCTGCGACAGACGGGTCGGGGCGCGCAGAGCTTCTATAGGGCGCTCTCTTTGGCCCCAACATTCCGAGGGTGCCCCCCCCACCTCCGGCAGAACTCGGGACCCCCGCAGAGACAGGAGAAGGGGCTCTGGGGGCGGTGGCATCGAACTCATTCGGCGCGGGGTGGGGCAGCGCGGCCCGGCCCCTATCCCGGGATACCACCGGCACCTCCCCGTGCTCCCTCCCCCCCCCGGGGCGCGGCTATAAGGGAGCGGCGGGGCCGGAGAAGGCGCTCGGAAGCGGCGGCGGGGAGCGGTGCACGGCGGGGCGGCAGGTATGGGGCGGGGGAGGGCGTGCTCCGGGCCGTGCCCCTTCCGTTCCCCTTCCGTTCCATTCGGGGTCACCTTGAGTCCCCCAGGGGTTCTCCTTGGGCTCCCCAGGGGCCGCGTTCCTCCCCTTTTCTCTGACTTTTCTCTGACAGCCGTGGGCTGAGACTGGGGAGCTCATCGCAGCGATGGTACCGCCGAGCTTTTCCCTTCTGCCCCTCAGCCCCCAGGCGGCCGATCGCGGTCCGGTTCCCCTATGGGGAAAACCCCTGCTCGGCGTGGGCGTCCCACGCAGCCCCTCCGCCGTGGGCTGAGGTCGCCCCGTCCCGCGTGGGCTTTGCTTCGGGAAGGGGGGCTGAGCTGTTCGTGGGCGCGGGGCTGTGAGGCCGTGTGGGGAGGGGGAGCCGGGCGGGGAAGGGTGTCACAGTGCGGCTGAGGATCTCCGTTCTGGAGCTGCGTGGGCGCTCCGTTAAGGAGTTGGGCGGGAGATGAGGAATGCGAAGGATTTGCGCGTCACCTGGGTCGGAGGTCCCAGCCCCTCTGCCGGCTCAGAGCCCGGCTCGAGGCAACCCCAGGGGCTCGGGGTCCCCACGCACACCACCCCATCCCGTACAGCGCCTGCGGCTCCGGGGACATGGCCAGCACCGCGCTCGTGCCCTGGGCGCTGCTCTGGCTGCTGGCGGCGGTGGGTTCGGCCGCCCGGGCGCGGACGCGCCGGGAGTTGTCCCCCGGTTTGTACGAGCACGGGGTGTTCGATGCCGGCGGGTCCTACTGCCAACGCGGGGATGTCTGCTGCCGCGGGCGCGACGACGGCTGCACCGTGCCCTACCTCGACACCATCTGCTACTGCGACCTCTTCTGCAACCGCACCGTCTCCGACTGCTGCCCCGACTTCTGGGAGTACTGCCTGGGCATCCCGGCCCCGTTCCCTAAAGCTCCAGGTGAGGCGGAACCCACCGGAGCGGTGCGCGGATGCGGGATGCGATGCGCGCGTCCGGACGGCGGCAGAACGCGCAGCCGCAGGAACTCGTGGGACCCGCGGAGCCGCTCTGTGGGGCAGAACGGGGCCCCGGTCGTGTCTGGGGCACGGGCACGCCGTCCTCAATTTCACCCCGTGGGCGGCGGGGGCGGGATGGGAGGAAGGGGGGGGAACCGGGACGGCCCTCCGTGCAGCACAAGGCTCTCTCAGAAGTCCCGGCAGAGCAGAGCCAGCTCCGGCTATCAGTGCCCCCTTTATCCCGTCCCAGCCTGCAGTTAACCCTCCCCGTGCCCACCTCTCTCCCTCCCAGGCTGCGCTCGCTCCGGTCGCACTTATCCCAGCGGGGCCACGTACCGGGACAACTGCAACCTGTGGTGAGTGCCCCCGTGCTGCACCGGCTCACAACGTGGGCACCCTGACCCCAGCCCCGAACCCGGCTCCAGTGGAGGGAGGGGGGCCGCGCTGGGTGGCGGGGGCTGATGCAAGTTGCCTTTGCTATGGCATATTTGGGGTTTCTGTGCCTGCAACCAGCTTGCCCCGGCTTGATGGGCTGAGCGTGCCCCATCCTGCTCCAGGTGGGGATCCGGCCCCACGCAGCTCAGCGCTGCACGCCGGCAGCTCGCTGTTTGCACTGGGGTTGGCTCCGCCATGGAACTGCAGGCATGCTGGGATGGGGAGCATGGAACTGCAACTGAGGGGCACAACCGGCAGAGCTGCACTGGAGATGAGGGCAAATCCAATGCTCCGTTTGGAGCTGTGCATCAGGGTGTGTGGATGCAACCTGTGTGTGTGCCTATGTGCCCAAGCAGCCTCATGCAGCCTTGCAGGATGAGCACAGCCCTCCCCGAGCTGCCGCTGCCCCTCTGGGCACATAGGAGTGGGGGGGACTGAGCCCCCCCCCGTGCTAAAAGGAGCTTTCTCTGTGCTGGGAAAGCATCCCTGCTGCCCCAAATCTTCTTCCCCTGCACTTGGAATGCGGAGAGTAATTCCTGCTGTGCTTCACCTCCACCTGGGGCGGTTGTATGGGAGGAAAATGTGAAGCGTGGGAGGTGCAGAGGATTTGTGGGATGCGGGGAGATGCTGTGGGTGTGCAGCCTGGCTTCACCCCAGATATGCCCCCAACAGCTGGGCTGCTTAGTGCATCTGCCCAAGGAGTTAACAGCAAGCAGCAGCTGGGTCACCAGAGCTGCGGCCAAGCAGGGCAAAGAGGGGTGAAAGGCTTGGGAACTGTCTTACAGGGTTTTTCCATTGCCTCACAGTGCCTGGGGAGAGCAGATATCGGGGGATTCACACTGTGTGCTCCAAATGGGGCCTTGGGATTTGTCCCCTGTGTGGGGATGTGGGGCTGGAGGGAATGGCTGGGATGTGGGGTGGCTTCTGGGAGGGGATGATGCCAGGAATTGGGGTCTGGGAGGTGCTCTGACCCCAGTGGGGTGGTTGGGATGGGGTTGGGGAGTGGTGAGCAGGGCTGCTCCATAAAAGGGAACGGCGTGCCAGGAGTTCACACTGCGGGCAGCGGGGCCGGATGCCGAGCATTGCTGGGAATGTGGGGGGAGCACGGCTGGAGGCTCCCCATGGGGACACCCCTCCCCCCCCACCCGGGTTCCCCATGGGCTGTGCAGTGCTCCCTGCTCAGAGCAGCAAAGCTCCTCCCTGGGCTCATTTCTAAGCCCCGCTGATTGCTGCAGTCCTGGTGGGTTTTCGGCTCATTTCTGTCCCACTTCCTTGGGGCTGCTGCAGGGACCAGGCAGGTGTTGGGGGTCCCAATTCTTGGGGTTGCTGCTCCCCATCTGCTGACAGTCTCCTCCCCACAGCACCTGCAGTCCTGGAGGGCAGTGGCAGTGTGAGGAGCACGCCTGCCTCATGGATGGGGACCTCATCGATGCCGTCAACAAGGGAAATTATGGGTAAGTACGCTGTAAGTGACTTAAGGGATGGAGCAGGGCAGGGGTGCTTCACCTCTCTGCTTTGTGGATGTGCCGGCACCATTCTGTGCTCTGTGCAGGTGGAGAGCAGCCAACTATAGCCAGTTTTGGGGCATGACACTGGAGGAGGGGATGCGCTACCGCCTGGGCACCTTCCGGCCACCCCCCACCGTCATGAACATGAATGAGATGCACGTGAGTGGGACCCCACAGATCCCGTAACCCGCAGCCCCAAAGCTGGGCGGGTGCTGTGGGCCGCCCCGCTCTTTGGAGACAGCAGCTCAGCACATTCCCCCTCGCAATCCCTGTGTTGCCAGTGTTGTTTTTGCCCCATCCCTCCTTGCTGGGTTCCCATCGGAAAGCCGGCCCCATAGCTGCTGAGTCGGCACAGCCGTGTGAGCGGGATGCCCTCGGGCTGCAGCCAGAGCTGGCCCCATGGGGCACCTTCTGCTGACCCCATAGCGGGCTCCGTGGGGCATCCATGGTGACATCTTGGTGAGACCCTGTGGCTCTGTCCCATGTCATGCCCCAAACTCGAAGTCCTCCTGCGCTGGGTGGCCCCTAAGGATGCTCCATGGGGACAGGATGAGCCGAGCACATGGCACACATCCATTGCGTGGCCTTGACTTGTGAGGTTTAATTTTAGCAGCATTTCCTGCACTGGGTGCTGTGACCTCCCCAGAAGGGCTGCTCTGTGCGTGGCCTCCAGGAGGAAATGCCGGGTGTTAGCCAGTGCTGGGAGCAGGGGACACAATGAGGGCCCCCCCACCGCCCCTGTTGGCACCCGTGGCCGGATGCTCAGCACTGGAGGTGTTGTTGCTGAGCCTGAATTTGGCAGAGGTTGAGAGAGATGGCTCCTCAGGGCGGCACCCACATCCTGGCTGTGGTGTCTGTGATGGGGTTGGGGTGCACCGCATGGCGCTAGGGACCACAGCTCTGGAGATGCCTTGGGGTGGGGATCCCCACGCTATGAGGCTGTGACCCCGCAGATGGCCATGGACTCCAATGAGGTGCTGCCCCGCCACTTTGATGCAGCCACCAAATGGCCTGGGATGATCCACGAGCCCCTGGACCAGGGCAACTGTGCTGGCTCCTGGGCCTTCTCCACGGCAGGTGAGATGCAATGGGTTGAGGGCTGGATCAGGGGGGAGTGGAATGGGACCCCAGGGGGCTGTCACCATCCCTGACTGCCATGCTCATCCCCAGCCGTCGCCTCCGACCGTATTTCCATCCATTCCATGGGGCACATGACGCCCTCCCTGTCACCCCAAAACCTCCTGTCCTGTGACACACGCAACCAGCGGGGCTGCAGCGGGGGGCGGCTGGATGGAGCCTGGTGGTACCTGCGCAGGAGGGGGTGAGAAAGGATGGGGAGGATGGCAATGGGGGGAGGATGGCAATGGCAGTTGGTACGGGGGTGGGGTGGGATGGTGATGATGATGGTGAAGGCGATGGTGATGGGAAGGCAAAGGGCTGGGAGTGGTGATGGGGGTAGTGATGGTGGGAGCAACAGGGATGGGAGTGGGGTGGCAATGGTTGTTGGATGGGATGGCAATAGGGATGGGAAGGTGAAGGAATGGATATGGTGATGGCAATTAGATGTAAAGTGGGGATAGTGATAGCTATGGGATGGCAAGGGAATGCTGATGGAGATGGGCATGGGATGGCGAAGGGGACGGGACAGGAATGGGGATAGGAATGAGGACAGGGACATCCGGGTTTCCCATCCCCTCCTCTCATTCCCATTCCTTGCACAGGGTGGTGACAGATGAGTGCTACCCCTTCACCAGTCAGGAGAGCCAACCTGCTGCACAGCCCTGCATGATGCACAGCCGCTCCACAGGCCGGGGCAAGAGGCAGGCCACAGCACGCTGCCCCAACCCCCAGAGCCACGGCAATGAGATCTACCAGTCCACCCCTGCCTACCGCCTGGCCCCCAGTGTGAGCACCCGTGGGGCTGGGGGTGGTTCTGCCTGCAAAAGCCAAGCTGGGGAGGAATGTGATGCCAGGGTTGGATGTGGAGCTGCCTCTGCAGGTGGCAGAAGACGGGTGGTGTCACCCTGCTGGGTGTCCCTGGGGTGCTGTGGGGCAGAAGGTGGGGACCCCAGCCCTTGGTATCAGCTGATTCTGTGTTTGCAGGAGAAGGAAATCATGAAGGAGCTGATGGAGAACGGCCCTGTGCAAGGTAGGGAGCTGCTGGGGGCACTGCACTGCAAAAGTGGGATCTGTGCTCTGAGCTGAGAGGGGACTGGAGGGGACAGGTGCTGCTGGAACAGCTCAGGACCTGCCACCCCCTGCTGCTGCTTAATGCTTAACGCAGCCCCAGGGAGCTGCCTGCTGGCACCTGTTGCTCATTAACTTCTCAGAGTTAATCTCTGTCTCGGCAGTTGGTTTTATTTGATTTTATTTTCTTAATCCTCCTCCCCCGTGCAGCTGAGCCTTGTCCCATGTCCCCAGCACAGCCTCGTGTCCTCTGTGCTCACACCCTGTGTTCTGGGGGACGCAGAGCTGAGCACCCAACCCTTATTCCCAACCTTACAGCCATCCTGGAGGTGCACGAGGATTTTTTCCTGTACAAGAGTGGGATCTATCAGCACACACCAGTGGCTGAGGGAAAGGGGCCGAAGCACCAGCAGCATGGCACACACTCAGTGAAAATCACAGGGTAGGTCTGGGGGGGTGCAGAGCATCACTGGTGGCTGGAGAAATGCTTCCTTAAGGGGAGGAAAGGCGTCCACCTTCCTCTGGGCAGGGAGAGGAAGCGGGGAGGGAAGGAGGCTGCTGGGCTGCAATGCAAATGCTGGGGCTGCTGCCACAAGTGATGTGAGCATTCTGTGCTCAGCAGTGGGGCTGGGAGGGAGGCACAGACCTGTGTGCCGGGGTCCCAGAGGGGGTCCTGGCCCTTGGGAAGGTGCTGGAGCTGGGAATTGGTTGCACAGCTCTCTCCGCTGGGGGGGGGGGGGGGGGGGGGGGAGAACGTGTGCTCTGAAATCCCGGTGGTGCATCCCTACGGGGTGCCCGCAGTCCCTCCTCACTGCCCTCCTGCTGCAGGTGGGGTGAGGAGCAGCTGCCCGACGGCCAGATCCAAAAATACTGGGTGAGTAGTGGTGTGATGAGCTCAGCTGGGCTCAGCCTTCTGTGTAGGGGCTGCAGCTTGGGGAAGATCTGAACACCAGTTTTGGTGCTGGGGAGGGGAATGGTTGGTCCTGTGCTGAGTTTCCCCATTGCAGACCGCGGCCAATTCGTGGGGCAGAGCGTGGGGTGAGGACGGGCATTTCCGCATCGCACGCGGCGTCAACGAGTGTGAGGTGGAGAGCTTCGTGGTGGGCGTGTGGGGCCGCGTCAGCGTGGAGGACATGCCCCATAAGTGAGCGCAGCCCCACGGCGCTGTCCTTGTCCCTGCCCTACACCGCAGCCCCCCCCGGCCCCATCCCCAGCGGGGCACCCCGGGTCGGACCCCTCGTGCCGCCGGGTGCTGACGCAGCGGCCGGGTGCATTGGGCCGTGCGTGGGGCGTGGGGCCGGGGCGGGGGGCATCGCAGTGCCTGCGGGACGGAGGATTTACTCACTAATCCAGCCCGGGCTCAGCCGGCTTTGTTGGCAGCCGGGGGCTCTTTAAAGGCAGCCACCCCTGCCCGGGGTGTCTGAGCCCCCCTGGTCGTGGCCGTAGGGCAGGAGCTGCTGTACGAACCCCCAGGCACAGCACAGCTCCTACAGCCCCTATGGAGCTTTAGGGAGTAAAATGCCGTGGCACCGGGGGGAGGGAGAGGGAGGGTTTATCTGAGTCCCCAAAGATGGAGGAGCCCAGGGCTGGGTGCTACCAGATAAGGATGAAGTCCCTGCAGCTCCCTCCCACCCGTCCCCATGGTGCTAAGACCCCGGTGCAGGGAAATGGCCCCTGCAACCAGCCCTGGGGTCTCTACGCCCCCCCGTGTCCCCACTCCTGCCACAGGACTGCAGGAGGACTCAGCCCCACTGTGTCCCCCTCTGTGCCATGGGGCCGCAGGAGGGACTGGAGCTGCCGCACAGCCTCACCTAACCTGCATCCCCCCCACCAGGCTCTACTTTTAAGACTTTTTTTGTATTTATTTTGCTTTTTATTATTTGTAAATAAAACTCCTGGAAGTCTCCTCCTGCCCATGCAGTGCTGCTCCTTCCCACACCCTGGGTGTGGGTGCATGGCCCTGCTGCCCCAAGAGCCCCATCCTTATGTGAGCAGGCTGAGCCCCCCCCCTCCATCCTGGACCGGGGTCAGCACCTGGAAGGGCTGCGCAGGGCTGATAAGGAGCACATTGTCTGCTTTCCTGTTTTGTCAGCACAGTGTGACCTCAGCCACGGGCTGGAGGGGCTGTGGGCAGGCGCAGATGTACGGCCACCACGGCATCCCTGTGCTGGGATAAGTGGGGGTAAGGCTGCAGGAGAGGGGATGTGGGAGGGTTGGGTTTGAGGAGGGCACCAGCAGCTTCAGGGGGGAGGTGGGGGCTGCCCTCAGCCTTGTACCCTTGTGCCATGCTATTCCTGTGCTCAGGTCTGTACCCATGTCACAGAATCACAGGGGTGGAAGGGACCTCTGCAGATCAGCTCCTCCAGCCCCCTGCTAAGGCAGGTTCACCTCCATCAGTATTAACAGCATTGGCCCTTTAAAACTATTTTTAAAACATTTTTTTTAAATGATCATTTGCAATGTGGAAAGGTCACGGTCTGAGATCTTTTGTGCAGCTCAAAGTTGCACAAATAATCTGGAAATCAAACCTTTTAAAGATGAAAAAGTGCAGTTTCAGCCCTGCTCTCAGACATTGAGTTCATTTCTGCAGTGCCCACATCCATCCCATGCCCATATCCCTACCTGCACCCACACCCCGCCATGCCCATGCTGGTATCCACACCTCCACTCACACCTTTCCCACTGCCCAGCTCAGGGGGGGTACTGGGATCCTGCACCCCTTCAGCTCAGCACCCAAACGTGGCACCCATGCAGCTTCACCACACCCTGAGCTCATGGGGAGCAGAGCAGGCCCTCAGCATTGCTTTGGCTCCTTGGCTGAACATTTCTATTTGCATTTTCTCCGTTTTACTCTTTCTTTCCTGCTTTCGGCTCTGAGCTCTGGCTGTGCCCCAACATGGAGTGGGGCGGCACCTGCTGGCTGCAGCCTGCCCTACAGCCAATGTATGCATCACCATATATAAACGCACAGAGCTCTATGTAAACATCTGTCCCCATATACACACCAACCCTTATACATATATGCAGATACATAAACGTATGGAGACAGGAGGTGTGGATGCTCACACACACACCCTGCTGTGTGCCTGCTGCCAGCTGGCCAGAGCTGAAATGGCACAAAAGTCAGCTCCAAAAATAGAGCAGAAATGGCTTTACTCACCAGAATACAACTCCAAATATTTTTGGAATTGTTATTGGTACTCAGAAAGTCCCACCTGGGGCCAAAGCTGAGAAAAATAACAGTTTTGTTATTTCTCCTAAAAGCATCAGATAACGTTTTTAACTCTTCCATAAAAAGTCCTCTACCCCACAAAAGAAACACAGCCTTCACAAAACATCCAGTGTACTTCTCATGAAGGCCAACTACAAGAATAACTACAAACATCATTTTAGAAGCACAGGGAAGAAAAAAAAAACAAGCAAACCTTTTCAGTGATGGTCTTCATTTTTGTGGCTGTATCTCAGAAGGAGAATGACAGCATTTATTCCCTGAGCCACGCAGCCATCGCCCCACAGACCAGCCAGGAAATGGTGCCATGGGTCTTTTATTAGAGCTACAAAAATAAGCTGTAAACCGTTTCCAAGCTTGGCTTCCACAGGCAGAAAGAAATCAGTACAGACATTGGCAATGAGGGACCTAATCCTGCTTGTGAACAGCACGAGGTGGCCCTGGGTTTTGGTATGATTCTGTGGCTGGCAGAAGATCCAGCTGCTCCCAGAGGCATGGCACTGTCCCCAGAGCCATGGCAGAGAATCATAGCATGGCACAGGCTCACTCCCAGTTTGGCTGTCACACACTGTGGCACAGCCCTGGGGGCAGAGCCATGCTGCAGCACAGAGGCACCCACCGCCATCCGGTGGGGATGAGAAATAGGAGCAGGGAGCTGCCAGCAGGGCTCGGGGCCCTGTGCTCCTGCCTGCAGCATGGGGTCCCGGGGGACACAGTGAGGGACAGGACAGCCACCATTCCCCCTCGGGCATCACAACATGCGTGTCATGACCATGGTGAGGAAGTCTTCGTAGCCGAGCCGCACGTTGCCCACCATCCCTGTGTCCTTCTCACGGAAGGCCTCTGTTAGGCTCTGCAGCTGCATGCAGATGTGAATGAAGCGGTCGAGCTGGATGCTGGGGTTGGAGGACCTCTGGGCGTAACGGGACAGCAGCAGTTGGCTGAACTGGGGGCTCAGGTTATAACCCATCTGGGAGAATGCTGGGAGTGAGAAACGCACAGATTAAACCCCTCCGAGAAGGGAGGCAGTGCCCTCCCCCCAGCATAGTCCTGAAGGGCTTCTGCAGTGGCTGAGTGCAGGCAGGGTCCTCAAGAGGGAGGAACCAAATCCGGCAGGAATTCCAGACATTCTTCCCCTCCATCTGACGCACACACCCAAGAGCTCCTCCCAGAACACAGGGGCTTAGTCACATGCCACTAGGAAGGGCAACAAAGAAGGGATTTCCCTAAGGAAGTTCACATTGTGGCCGGTTCAGCGTGAATCTGGGGACACCGGGAAGCTCAGAGAGAACTAACAGCAGGAATGGGGCTGGGGAGGGCAGAGAGGCCACTGGATTGGCTATTAGGAAGAGAATCTCCTCTGAAAGAATATCAGGCATTGGCAAAGGCTGCCCAGGGAAGCAGTGGAGTCACCCTCCCTGGGGGTGTTGACTAAACGTGGCCATGTGACACTGAGGGACGTGGTTTAGTGGCATGGTGGTGATGGGCTGGCAGCTGAACTAGATGATCTTAGAGACCTTTTCCAAGCTTAACGATTCTATGCTGGGCTGCAAATTAGCACCAAGCAGGCAGTGCTCCCTGGGGAGCTCAAGTGTGGTGCCTCTGCCCCTCACCCACCTTGCTGGAGCTCACTGAAGCTGATGGAGCCCGACTGGTCCCTGTCGTACTGCTGGAAGAGGTTCTTCCACTGCTGGATGAAGCGCAGCAGGGCTGAGAAGCCGTACACATCCATGCGTCCCGACCTGGTCCTGTCAAACATGTCTGGGAGGAAGGCAGAAGAGCAGATACAGTGCAGTGAGGAGAAAGCACAGCCGCTCCTGGGGAGCCCAGGACTCCCTATGGCTCCAGTGCTCTCCCTCGGTGCACCCACGTGGAACAGCCCCCGGGGGGGAGGAGCGGCCCCTACTCACTGATCATCAGCAGGCAGGTCTCGTCATTGAACGCCGACCAGTTGGAGTTGAGCAGTGCCTGTTTCAGCTCCTTCACCGAGATGTAACCGCTGCGGTCAGCGTCCACCGCCTGGAACCAGGAGAAGGCCTCGGGATCCACGCCCTGCGGAGCACCGCCTGCGGAGAAACGGCACCGGCGGCTCCGGCTCCGGCCCAGAGCGCGGCTTCCTCCCCCTCAGCACCGCTCCCCGCTCACCTCCAGGAGCGGCTCCTCCGTAGGGTCCCGCCGGAGGCGCTCCATAGGGCTGCCCGGGGGCCGCGCCGCTGCCGTAGGGGCCTCCGGAGTAAGGCCCGGCCGGGCCCGCGCCGGGGTAGCCCTGCGGATGGGAGCAGAGCTCGGTCAGGGGGGGAAGCAGCGCCGGGCCAACCGGCCTCGATCGTCCCCAGCCCGGCCTCGGAGCCCCGCGCAGCGCAGCTCCGCACCTGCCCCGGAAACCCCGCCATGGCTCCACTTCCGGCACCGCTTCCGCCCACACTCGCTCCTTTTCCGGTCGTCTCGGGCGTCTCCCACTCCTATTGGTCGAACTTCGCGGATGAACCCGGAGGTCCCGCCCCCCCGGGTCATGTCGTCACGTGATGGAGAGGCTTAAAGCGGCGATGTTGGGTGGGGTTCCCAACCCCGTCAGCCCCCAGGAGCAGGGCCAGAAACGTCCGAGGACGTCGCAGTGCCACCACTAGTGCAGGACCATCAGCACCACTACCAACATCAACATTATGTCACTGTCATCATTACCATCATCACCCCTACCACAGCCGCCATCATCTCTACCATCACCATCAGCCACAACACCATCACCACCACCACTGGAGTTGGACTTATGGGTCGTTATGGGACCAATTGGTTCTTATGGTGGTTCTTATGGGACCAATTGGGGATATTCTATGACCCAAATCGTCAGTATCACATCTTTGTCATCGCAGCCATCATCACCACTGCCACCATCATCACCATCATCATCACTACCATCACCATCGTCAAGGGCAGGAACAGGGCACAGGGCTGGGGATCAGGACAGGGATGGGGACAGGATGTTCAGACGAGACACCACACAAAGAGGAGTCAAGGTGCGGGGCAGCAGCACGGCTGTATTTCGGCTGGGCAGGATCCACCTGCCCTACAACAACCACCCACCCGCAGAGCCGGACAACACCCACACCCCCGGGACCGGCGCAGCCCCCTGGAAAACGGGGGCAAGAATAAGAGCAGCAGTGGGGAGCGGTGGGGCCGGCTCAGCCGAAAGGGCCCTTGGCATTTTTGGGCTGGAAGATTGGCTGCTCCATGGGCAGAGCGCCCATGCACTCAGCAGGGCTGCAGTGCCCCGTTTTGCCCGGTGGCCCCGTGGCACCTGGGGGACCGGGGATGCCGGGGATGCCCTGCTGCCCCACGGGGCCTGGAGGGCCCATCTTCCCATAGCCTGGTGGCCCTTGGGGACCTGGAAGGCAAAGAGAGAGATGGAGGAAGGTGGCACCGAGCTGATAGCATCATGAGGAACATGGAGAGGGAACGGGAAGTCACCTGGGGGTCCTGGTGGGCCGCTGTCCCCCATCAGCCCCATGCCCTTCTCCCCTTTCTCTCCTTTGGCACCCGGCTCCCCTGGAGGAGAGATGTGAATGGTGAGACCCCATCACCACAGCACCCCAGCACTTGGGGACGTGGTGGGCAGCACCTACCCCGCATGCCTGGCACACCCTGCCGCCCCTCTCTGCCAATCTGCCCTGGCATCCCTGGGGATCCTGGAGGTCCCGGCCGGCCAGGCAGCCCGTCCTTGCCCGGGGGACCTGGTCTGCCTGGGGCTGCCACCATCTCCACCGGGAAGTGCATCCGTGAGGTGTAGTACGCCATGCGCTCTGTGGGGACAGGCGGCTCAGCAGGGCTGGGGGGGGCTGGGGGAGCACCAGCCCTTGCCCCTATCACCCCCATTACCATCAAACATCTTGCTAATCTCCTGCTGGATGAACCTTTTGATCTCATCATAATTCACCACGTCGCCCTGGAGGAGATACGGAAAAGACACAGCCGCTGAGCCCTGGCTCCGTGCCTCGGAGTCAAGCTCCTGCCCCCGGCTGCCCCCCGCTTACCATCATCCCGGGGGGTCCTGGCAGCCCGGGGCTGCCTGCAGGTCCTGGCGAGCCGGGGGGACCCCTCTCTCCTGCAGGACCCCGCAGCCCTATGGGGCCCATGGAGCCACTCTTCCCTGGCCCCCCAGGTGCTCCAGCACGGCCCTTCTCCCCAGGGTACCCTCGCATTCCAGGGGACCCGGCTTCACCCTGTGGGGACACAGACAAGCAGAGCTCTCACCATGGCACCCCTGGTGTAGTGTAGGGCTGGGGACACCATGGGGGACCTGTGGCAGACCTCACCTTCTGGCCAGCGGGTCCTGCAGTGCCAGGCTTTCCTGGGGGGCCCTGGGGAGACAGAGAGGAGTGGGGCGGTGGGGCTGTCCTAGGGGCACCCCAGCATGCACTGCCCCTCCTGTACCTCTTTACCAATGGGTCCATCTGGTCCCTGCTCCCCCTGTGGGATGAAAGTGAGGTGATATGAGGTGTGCTTCGCACAGTGCTCGCAGTCCCCTGTGCCCACCCACTGCTCTCACCGGCGGCCCTGGGTGTCCCGGTGGCCCTGGCTGTCCTGGCATTCCTGGCAGACCTCGGTCCCCTGCTGAGCCACGCTCACCCTTCATCCCCTGTGGTGTAGATGCAGTGTGAGATGGGGATGGCCACCACTCTTTGTCTCCATCCCTGTCCCCATCCTGCCGCTTGGCTGTAGGGGGACCACAGGGCAGCCCCACAGGTACTCACCACTCCGGAGAGGCCAGCAGGACCCGGCTGCCCTGGGCTGCCAGGGGGGCCCTGGGGGCAGAAAGAGGGGTTTCAGCAGGAAACAGAGCCCCTTGGTTTGGGGACACAGCCCCATAGCACTCCCTACACCATTCCAGTGCACACCAAGGGAACAGAGCCACTTACAATGAGTCCTGGAGGTCCCTGCCGGCCTTGGGGTCCCATGGGGCCAGGGTCACCCTGCAGGAGGCAGTAGGATGAAGGGAGGGGCGCAGGTCCCCTCACTCAGCACAGGGCTCCTTTGTCCCCTCCCCACTCTCTCACCTCTGCCCCGGGACGCCCTGTGCTCCCAGGAGGACCAGGTTTGCCACAGTCACCCTGCAAGGACAAAGGGACGGGGTGGGCAACGCAGTGCATGGAGACCCTCACATGGGGCTGCCACCACCGCAGGGTGACCACTGCTCTGGGGACAATGA